CCTTCCATTGTGAGACTGTTATTCAAAACTAAAAAACACAGCCGAATTAAAAATATGATTAAATATGCATAGGTTGTATTGAATTGTGTCTGTGAAAAAACTTCATTTTCACATAAGGATCCTCTATGACATGGATCACATTGATTATACGTCGTATTTAACAAAATATTTAAAGCACATTAACCATTATTCGGACAATCCAACGGATTTTGGCGACAGAGATCGACCATACTTTAATTGACGACGAGACATAACATATTATAGTGAAATACAAAAGCGAAGTGACGAAATGCGTATCATCAACCTTCTCTACGAAATCTGCAATGAAAAATATTGCGTTTCATATGGATTTTCTCTTTTTCAGATTCGTTAGGTGCGCCAAATGTATTTATTAGTAATAACTCGAGAAAAATGAAGAAAAAGAAAATATCAAAATGAAAAAATAACAGATTTGTATAGAACCAGAGAACGAAGACAAATCAATCGAGCAACGTAAAATGAAGTGTTGCATCGTTTTATAACCTTGTCGAGTGAAATAAAACCACATCTACTTATATCTCACACTCATATTAATTATATCAAGTCTTAATAGATTATACGAAGGCAAAATACAATTTGTTCAAAACATATGTAAAATTATTCACTAGATAGAATTGAAAAAGGTACGAAGCAAGAATTTGGTAATTTATATGAGAGAAGGAGAAAAGTAATACTATCATTTAGCAAATATATGACTGATTAGGCGAATCACGAAGACAAACAACATAGTTTATTGAAATAATACAACGTTGACAAAATAAACTTAACAAGAACAGAGCAGAAAAATAAAACATACATTTCAACGTATTTATAGACGATTGAATCATGTAAATCACTTTTTTGAGAACTTAACAAATTTTTGAAAGATGACAATATGATAAGAATCAAAATTATGCAGAAGCAAGATATGCGATACACTATATTATTCTAAAGATATCACGATTCATGAAAACTTAAAACACATCAACAATAGAGGTCAGACAAAAACACTTACAAAAGTTTGATTTTTAACTTTAGTCTATCGTTAATGAATTTATAGTTTTTTTTCCCGTTTGTTTAAGTGGAAAATGTTATTTTGAATGTGCTGTGTAGCTCTGTTACTCATCGAAAATAAAAATAACACTACATGCGATTGGTCGACAATATCGTTTAATGCGGATTAGGTGGATTCAGTTCTTGATCGAGAGAAAAGTGATGTAATAGAGCCAATACGCAGATACTTACGCTTCATTCGTTCTTGTTTAGTCAAAGTAAGTGATATTGTTCATGAAGGCTATCGCACATGTCGTTCCTTTTTCGTTCTATTATTATTAAGCGTGTTGTTCTCTTTTAAAAATATTCAACACTAATATATAATATTCTAGATTTATTCTTTGTCACTTTTTAATTAGATAATCTTCTATAAATTTTGTTACTCATTCATGTCGAAATGAGAAACCAAGAACTTAAATGGTTTCATGAAAACTCGGCTGTCAAATACATCAACTAGGTACTCTACATTTCAACTAATCTCAAAAGACAAATTCGTTTAAATGTTTTGGATTGCAGTAGAATACGCGAGAAATAACGAGCATTTTTGGGTACATAATGATACCCGTTAAGAAAATTTCTCGTAGCGATGTTTGCTTAGTTGATCTTCTGAAGGTTAATACACGTATTAACCTTTGAGTGCAATAACACTGGTGAAAATCGTGCTGAAAATCAGAAAAAAAAACCCGTAAATCTAGAACAATCTTACACGTTTGAATGTGTCCAAAATTCTATAACACTTTGTAAAGCGTAAAATTAATGATCGAAATAACATCTTACGATAACTAAGCCTTAAAATGGTGTTTAAACAAAATTTTAACTCGTTTTAAAAGAGTCTTGTCTGACTAGTAAAGCTCATTGGAATCAAAAATTTATGAAACAAGACCAAAGCAATTTGATTTTGCTGAACCGGGATTCGGATCCGAACTTGATCCGTACTCTTAAACCTCTCGAAAAAAAAAATTTCTAATCCAATTTTGATTGTCACCTCAAAGATACAAGATCCTATTCATTCGTTTCTGTTAGATGAGTAGCATACTTAGGGGTCTCAATTCATATTGACTTTCAAATTTAATTCATACATAAATTAAATATAAATATGTTGTCTTCATGATTTATATTTATTTTAAATATAAATTACCGATAATTTATATGTATTCTTAATTGACTGGAAAATGATACGCCAAAGCATACTTTACGTACTCTTGAAACGATTCGATAGTGATCGCATAATAATTAAATTACAATTAGTTCTTATTCCTATCTAATAGTTCCTGATAGAAGAATGAATCTATGTCCTACAAAGCTGTTAGATTCATTCTTGTACGTAATAAATATTTTATTATTAATAGTTTTGTGCTTTGTACTGAAGCACATACGTACAAAAATAAAAACAATATGGGTTTCTCCTAAAGGAGAAGAAACTTGTTGTGTTAATAAAAAACAAAAAACTATGACAAGTCTACTGCATTTTAGAAACAAAAACAATCTCATACTTTTTTTATGAATAAATTAAGTGTTTGTGAATAAAATGAACAAAAATTTTTCTCGATGCGGATCTAATGGGCTTTACTGACTGAAAAATGAAAGGAAAACTGTATGAACCAAAAGTATTTTATTGAGCGTCATAAATTATGCACTACTAGTAGACAAATTTTTTAAAACCACAGAAAAATGAATTTTGATAAGCAACATTACACCCTCAAAAGTATCCTTGAAAGGAAAAACAAAAAGGAATTTATTTTATTTTATTTTTTCATTGTACTTTCAATTAAATACATCAATTATTGTTTGTTCTTTTATAGGTAAAACTAAATATACATTTGATAAAGACATGAATTTCTGATATTCTTCGTACATCGTAATGTCATTTTATCGAGACGAGATTGATGGACTACGAGCAGTTGCTGTTATTCCAGTTATTTTATATCATGCTGGTTGCACTTCGTATTTCGCTGGAGGTTATATTGGTGTTGATATATTCTTTGTTATTAGTGGTTATCTAATTACATCTGTCATTGAAAATGAACGTGAACAAGAAATATTTTCACTTGTTCACTTTTATGAACGACGATGTCGTCGCATTCTTCCAGCACTTTATTTCATTTTATTTGTCAGTAGTATTTTTGCTTATTATTGGATGTTACCTGATCAATTGAAAGAATTTGGACAAACTTTAATTTCTATTGTTGCTCTTTCTTCAAATATATTTTTTTGGTGGAAAGACGATGGTTATTTTACACAATTAACTGAATTAAATCCTTGTGTTCATACGTGGAGTTTAGCTGTTGAAGAACAATTTTATTTTATATTTCCATTAATATGTTATTTTTCTGGAAAGAAAAATCGTTGTCTTATCATTCTACTGATATTTTTAGCTTTGATTAGTTTTTTTCTTGCTCAATGGGGTGGAAATTTTCAATCGACTTCCAATCATCAATTTCATATGTTTTCTCAACATTCATGGGCATCATTTTACTTACCTATAGGACGAGCATGGGAGTTATTACTCGGTTCTTTTGCTGCATTCTACTTACGACTTAATAGATCAGTCAGGTATATCCGACATAATTGTTTATTTATCTTATTCAATTCAGATGCAAAAGAGAATATTACAATTTTTATAGTAATTACTCTTGTTCTTTTTAATGTCGATAGATTTGATCGAAACAGGCATAATACAAAGCTGGATTTATTTCAATAAGTTAATTTAGTTTAATTATATGTCTATAAAATCATTAGAATGTAGTTTTGTATTTAATTAATCCAAATAGAAAAAACGATCTCCTTATTGAAATTCTTGATAGAACGCATGATAACGAATTTTTTTCTGAAGGGAAACGATTATTGTAAAAATCTAGCACATTAGGTTATCATAAAAATTTTGAAAACAATGTGAACAGAAGTTTTATTGAATCACATCAAGGTTTTACACAATTACATGGGAATATATTTCAGCTATAACTAACAAGTCGACTGTTTTTAGATAATTTCTTTTCAAAAAACTTTCATTTGCATAAATGGTAAAAACTGTACTGTAACTAGGGTTGTATGCTTTCTTCGAATATGATTTTCGAAATTTTCTATCCGATTTTTCTTGAAAATAATGTGCCAATTTCTCAAGAAGAAAAGGTTCTAAAGAAAAATTGTTAAATGACAGATTTCTTTTTTGTGGTACTGGCGTTCAAAATTTCGATATTTCTACCAGTTTATAGAGAAAAATTTGATTTTTTTTTCAATAAGATATAGAGAAATTTCTATTTCCTTATCATTATTATTTTTTGAAAAATATATTTATGAATCAAACGATTTTTTTTTTGAGTAGAAAGCTGTTCTCGAGAAAGCCTTCATGAATTTAATTGATAGAACATTAGAAATTAATACAATCAAATTTTTTCTGTGGATCTTTCAGAAATTTATTTTATAAATAAAACTCAATACAAAATTTTTCAGATCATATTTAAAAAGAAAACGAAATTCGAGTTCTAACGTACCATTTTCGATCTCAAGTTGATCAAAAGAAAACGTCCTTTCTAAAAATGTTAGAATTATCTTTTAGAATCATATTAGACAATTCACTGTTTATTCTACAATGTAATAGATCTACAGACATAGTGAACTACGTGTTCACATCTTTTTCAGAATTGAATATGTTAAATATTTTTCGAAATTTAGTGTAGCTTCATCCAATAAATATAATGAATTCTTTGCCTTCATCGGACTTGTACTAATTATAATATCAATTGTCTTCTTTGATAATAAAAATGTGCCTCCATTTCCAAACTGTTATACTCTTATACCTACATTGGGTGCAACATTGATTATTTTATTTGGACAGAATAATACACTAGTTGGACGATTACTTTCTATACGTCCATTACGTTGGATAGGTCTTATCTCTTATAGTGCCTATCTTTGGCATCAACCTTTACTTGCTTTTATTCGTCTACGTTCCAATACTACACCTGGCATATTATCTATGTTGATGATAGTCTGTATTGTTTTTCCACTTAGTAGTTTTAGTTATGTTTTTATTGAACAACCATTTCGTAATAAAAAACGTTTTTCTCGAAAACAAATACTTTCTGTTTCATGTATAACTGCTGTGATAACATTCATTCTTGCATTCTTTCTTATTCAAACTGCAACTTATCAAACATTATTATTGAACAAAGCAGATGATTCTTATCTATCTGATTTAGCAAAATACGGTCATGGGGGATATGTTGAACGAGCATTTAATGTTTTAAGACAAAATAAAAATACATTTTCAATTCGAACATCAACAATAAACAAAAGATTGATACTAATTGGTGATAGTTTTGCACAAGATTTTTATAATATAATTATTGAAGGAAAACATTTGACTAACTATGAAATGCGTGTATTTTTTATTCATGGACGATGTCAAATGTATATCGGTCCAGAAGATCGAAAACAATTTATTAATGCAATAGATCATCAAATATGTACAAATCGTAACGATATTAAATATGCTTTACCAGTTATTCGTCAAGCTGATGTTATTATTTTATCTGGTAAATGGTTTGAATGGAGTGCTAAACGATTACCAATGACATTAAAATTGTTAAATTTAACAAAAAAACAACAAATATTTGTTATTGGACGAAAACATTTTGGTAATGTTAATCCAAAATTATATGTTAATAAATCAACTAAATATCGACTTAAACAATATCAATATCCAAGTATAGATGTGATCAAAGTTAATAGTTTATTAGAAAAAACCATAGATAAATCAATATTTGTCAATATACTAAAAATGATCTGTACTGGATATAATCGAACATGTCCTCTTTTTACTCGTGATGGAAAACTAATATCATATGATGGAAGACATTTGACTAAATATGGTGCTATTTATGTTGGTAATATTATTTTTAAAAATAAACCATTAAATAAATTATAAAGAATCTGTCAGATTTTAAACAGCAAAAAGAAATCATCTTGAATAAAAATCATTCAATGGCATTATGCGTAATATAGATCAATAAAACTTGATGAGGTAGTTATTGTAAAAAATAAAATTGTTCATTGTTTAGAACATATTTATTTTCAATTGAAATTTTCATTTGATTTCAAAATGAAGTACTAATGTTGTGTGATATCATAGGACTATTAATATTTTATATTTATCAATAGAATTGTTTTATTATTTCGAAAAGTATATATCCCAAGGAAACAATACCGTATTGTCGTTGATATAAATCAAATCGAGGCTTATAAAACGAAAATAATGAAATTCTCATTTGAAGAAAGAAATGATAGTAGTAAGTGTACGGTACTTCTCTTCATTCATCATATCTACACGGACAGTGAAATGCATACTTACATCTATCTCGTCTCTTGCAAAAGTTTTTCCTGATGTTTTCTCTACTTATCGGTCTTGAAACATCATGGATATACAATGCACGAAAATTTCAATTATAACCTTTGATTTTTTTTGTTTTTTATTAGTATACGTTTTTATCTATTAACTTACTATGTATAGGGCGAAAGCTCAGAATGCGCTGCATCTTTTAATATATTTACATTGTACATCAAATGCAGTTCAAAGGAAGAAAAAGAACATTTTTTCTAAATCCATGGTGTTCATAATGTTGTAACATTTTTTATTTCGCATATGTCTTGGCTTAGATAAATGATAAAACCTTGAAATATTGTTCGAAAGATACGCCATAAAAAGTTCTGCGAATGCTATGTGATTGACTTCTATTTTATCTGTTTCGATGGTTTTTCTTATACTCAAAATGAACAACTTACAGGTGGCAGTGTCACTTCCTATCATACTAAAAATGTTGGAAGACTTTTTTGTTCTGCATATATCTCGTCTTGAGAAAATGATGGTGTAACGCTCCCGGTTGATTGGATTTCATACATGATACTTAACCTTCCCGTACCACTCACTCATATATTATACATTATCCTTACCTTTCTATTCTTATGCTTCTGTCCTTATCCTATTGTTCTCCTATATCGGCTCTCTCCTTGACCTTATCTCCTCTCTTCTTCTACTTGCGTATGTAAGCGTGTGCTATGTATGTAAACGATGCGATTATATCACATGAAGGAATAGAATAAAGTGTAATACCATCAGCACTAATATCCCTTCTATCAAAAATCGTCACAAATGGAATATTGAATTTGTTTTAAAAAAAGTGTGCCATCAAAAGCTCTACAAAACTTGTATAGACTAAAGCCTATAGCGCATTGGAAAAGTTTTCAAAAAATTTTCTATGTAATGGAAAGTGAAGCTGCCACCTATAAGTTGTTCATTTTGAGTATAAGAAAAACCATCAAAACAGATAAAATAGAAGTCAATCACATAGCATTCGTAGAGCTTTTCACGGCGTATCTTTCGAAAAATATTTCAAGGTTTTATCATTTATCTAAGTCAAGACATATGCGAAATAAACAATGTTACAACATTTTGAACATCATGGATTTAGAAAAAATGTTCTTTTTCTTCTAATACACTATTTATACCTTGAACTGCATTTGATGTTCAATGTAAATATACTAAAATATATAACCAATGATATGGATTGTTTTTCTGGTCACAAATATGCTGATCGTAATATGACATCAACAGAGAACCATTCTCCTTTCATAAAGTTCATCACATTTATTTTCTGTTTTTTGGCCAAAAAGTTCCTCATTACTATTATTGTTGTGATTCATGGTAACACACAAGATGATATACATATATTATCTTCTCATATACCTTTCTCTTTCTATTCTTTTCTATATTCATTAGTGAGTGATCTCTGTGTTACGTTTGTCTGCTTATTATTATTGCTAGGTGTGTATTTTGAACCTGCAGTAAAACAAGTTCTAAAACCAATTGAAACATATTTCTTAACAATTAGTGACCCCTGGTATTAACAAAACAAACAATAAATAGAAAAAAAAGAGTATAATTTCATATATATATACAATGGATAATACTAGTATAGAAAAACAACAAAAGTTTAGTGCTGATGAAGCTGCAAAATTTATTGTTTCATATATTCTTAATCATTATTGTCGAAATGATGAAAAAGAATATTTACTTGTATGAAAAAGTTACCCTAAAGAATAACATATTTGAGAATATCAGCAAAACTTAGATTGTTCATATTCAATTGAAGAATATAAGAATCATTTATTGCAAAAACTTTGTTTCAAGAATAATGATTCATCATTACCAGTATTATAAAAACCTATTGATATTAATAAATCAATTAAATTTGATGAATGAACTTAAATCAACATGTTTTCTGATTCACATTGATAGCAGACTTCACACAGCAAAAATGTTCCAGGAATTAACTGTCAATTCTTTGATCTTTAAATCATCGTGTCAAAAAAATAGTCACGGGAGTCAAATGTCTATGAAGTAAAAAAAATCGAGAACGATTACTATACATGGCTTCGTACCGTAAACGGTTTGTATCATCTCGACACATGGATCTCTTTGATATAGTTCGAACGGGTTTCTAGTCATTCGCTATTCTCTAGAACATCATGACATCAAATACAGATCTTTTTACAAAAAAAAAACACACGCAAAATATGAAGCCCAAATGTGTACGCGAGCAATGACAGACATGCTGTGCTTCAAATCGCGTTAAAGAAGCTGAAAGCAATAATTAACAGCTAGGAGTCTCCTTTTATGAGAATGGTTAGTTCAGATTCATTATCGATTCACTTGTCAGTCGAGTTAAGCGTATTCTAACATTTTTTGAGTTTGTGCTGTCAGTCGCCTTTTCTATTCGCGCTTTGCTCGAGTATCAGCCTAATTCGTTTTTTTCTATTATTTATATGAATATTAATATATTTGTTAAAATTGAAAAAATTGAAGTACACAACACATTTTGATGAGGATTACAAAAAAATCGACACCATCCCGCAGGATTCCAATTTCAAATAAAACAATAAAAGAGTATAAAAAAAAAACTCAACTGTAAATGCAATCAAATCTCAATAATATACTGAACAATTAAAAAAAGATAGTTATGTCATCATTGTAAATTAAATTTAAATATTATCAAACATGATTGATATATTTCAATCAAGTATATTAAAATATCAACTAAGATAATATTGCATGCATTAAAAACAAATAAAATCAAATAACAAATATAAAAAACAAACAAAAAAAGAAAAAGTAAAAGCACCTAAGATAGATAAAAAATACTTATTAACAAATAGGACATGGTTGATGAGCAAGACTGCGTAAAAATAAAAAAGTTGTATTACAAATACATATACGATAAATGCCAGATTCACTACGATGAATATTGCTTACTAATGGTAATCGAGGTAAATCAAAAAATACTGAATCACTTTTGAAATGTAAATTTTCATGTGAAATTTTCTATTAAAATATAATTAAAAATTAAATTAAATGACAAAAAAAAAACATTGAAAATACTTGATAATGATGAAAAGATTTTTTTTGTGTTAAATAATTACTAAAACGAAGTATTGATCGACGATTATGTCTATTTGCTTCTAATACTAAATTTTGACTATAGAAAAAAGCATGAGTAATATTTAATATTTCTAATTGATTTGTTGCAGTTAGATTTAAATGTTTATTATGAATCTAAGAAAGAAAAGAAAAGAAATCCGACTACTAAATAAAAATTTTCAAAAAAAAAAAAAAAAAATATTTATACATGTTGAGAACTTATTTGATTAAGATGAATACGAGTTTTAATTTCATTATCAAAATTAAATGATTGTAGATTTGTAAAATCAATAGAAGAAGAATTTTTCAAATAAATTTTATCAGTATTTAATAATATTTGATCATCATCAAATAAAATTGAATTTTGTTCACCATGTATATCAATCTATACAAACAAATACATCTTGATAAATAATTAAAAAAAGAATTTTTCTTACTTGTTTTTCTGATAATAAATTTATATGTGTTACATTATTTATTTTAGTTGTATAAATTGATTCATTAAATGATGCATGCTTATAGAATTCAACTTCTTCATTATATTTATCAAATCGAAATACTTTTGATCCACTACCATCAAACAATGACCATTCGAGTTTATACATAAGCCATAGAAGACACTAAAATGTCATTAAAATATTTTTTAATTATATAAGAAATAGAAGAAATAACTAGAATGACATTAAGATAAGACTTATCATAGTATTAACCTTTTGAGTACACATATGAAAGTCCGTCGGATCGAGACGAGTTCTAAACAGCATACAGAATTCAGGATGCTTTCTTTTTAGATTTTCTTAATTTTTGAATAACTTGTAAATAGAGAAAAGATATCGAAATCTGATAATGTAGTTTTGTCGATCGATCTTAAATATCGTATAAAAATTGGGTCCTGCATATATATAGAAATTGAAAAGGAAGTAGAATTCACATTGGATTACAGTAGAATAGACAAACCTTATCTCCTTATGGATGTTTATTTTCAATGACTTTCTCGAATCGTGTGAAATTTAACCTTCAATACTTTGTATTAATAATCAAAAGATATTTTAGGATATTTAAGAGTGTTCTGTAGAAATGATATTAAACAATTGCATTCTCCAAAATTATTTTTCTTTGTTTTGTTTCATGTACGTATTTTCTAAGTTTTACTCTTTCAATGAGTTTGGAATTACTTAGTAAATAAATAAAAACTAGACAAATTCATTAATTTGTAATTCAATCATCAGAACTATTATTTTCATTGTGATGATCATCTTCAAAACGGCTATTAATCAGATTATCTCAGAATGTAGCATTACTATGATGTTCTCTCTTGAATACTCTCGTTTTAATCGTCAATATTTTTGATGTACTACGATGGTTGTTTGTCCTATTCATTTGATGAACGAAATACTTCTCTTAACTTAACATTGATCAATTGCAACGGATAAATAATAATTGATTTATCTTAT